TAATGGTACAGCAGCAGTAGTTACCCCTGATCAAACTTTTACATTTTTAGTACCCAAACAATCAGCTCAAAAGGTAGAGCTTAATGCAGTTTTACAAGCTTTTGTGATGTTTAAAGATTCTGTATTTAATTTATTTTCTGATAGTCAGTATGTAGTTAATGCTATAGTATCCCTTGAAGATGCTGGTAGGATTTCCCCTTCTTCTACTGTTTTCTCTTTGCTTTCCACTATACAAAGTCTAATCTGGGACAGAAAAGATCCATTCTTTATAGGACATATCAGGGCACATACAGGATTGCCTGGAGCCCTTAGTTTGGGCAATGATTTAGCAGATAAAACTACACATGACATACATATTTTCTCTACACTAGAAAAAGCTATAAATTTGCATAAAAAGTTCCATGTCAATGCTAATACTTTACAAAAGCGTTTTAAAATAACTAAGGAACAAGCTAGACAAATAATAAAACAATGTCAAAATTGTGTGACCTTTTTACCACAAGTTAATCTTGGAGTCAATCCTAGAGGATTGATACCTAACCATATTTGGCAGATGGACGTCACACACTTGCCAGAATTTGGAAAATTAAAATATTTGCATGTTACAGTTGATACTTCTTCTGGATTTTTGATGGGCTCCCTTCATGCCGGAGAAAAAACTAAAGATGTTATAGCTCATTGCTTACAAAATTTTGCCACTGTGGGTGTTCCAAAACAGTTAAAAACAGATAATGCCCCTGGTTATACTTCTACCTCTTTTAAACAATTTTGCTCAACATTTGGCATTACTCATATAACAGGAATCCCATACAATCCACAGGGACAAGGCATAGTTGAAAGAGCTCATCAAACTATTAAAATGTACTTATTAAAGCAAAAAGAAGGAATTGGGAAGGGGTATATATTCCCCAAAGATAAACTTAAAATAACCCTTTTTACTCTAAACTTTTTAAATTTGGATTCATCAGGACTTAGTGCTGCGGAAAGGCATATGTGTCCAAAAAATGTACATAAGCCCAAGGTACTTTGGAAGGATATTCTAACAGGACAATGGAAAGGTCCTGACCCAGTAATTGTCTGGAGTCGGGGGTCTGTTTGTGTGTTTCCACAGCGAGAACAGCAGCCGATTTGGATTCCAGAGAGATTAACCAAGGTCCTGACCCAGTGATTGTCTGGAGTCAGGGGTCTGTTTATGTGTTTCCACAGGGAGAACAGCAGCCGATTTGGATTCCAGAAAGATTAACTAAAGCGATTTCTACAGACCAAAAAGAAGATGATTTGGCTCAAATCCATAACAACTGATATCCAAAACTCCAGTTTGGCTATTCTTACATCTGCAACAGAACCAGGATGCTTTTTTCAATATCTATTTTATTATTGCCCTTTGCCATATCATGAAGTTCTATTTTGTTTTTTGAGCTCATACAGACCTAGGTTAATGTTTTGCTGATCAGTTCTATTTTTTGACTATAGAGTTTTTAAACATTGCAATGGAGATTTCACCTGTAAAAAGTTATAAGGCCTTTACTATAATGTTATGTGTTGTATGTATTATATTATGTGTGCACACTTGTGTTTTGTGTTATATGTTTGAATGTACGTATGTCCATATATCATATATGATGAGCGCTCATGATAAAATGGATCCAAAAATTTTTTTTTTCACGTGATTTATATGGTTTAATTTAAATTGGGTAAACAACTGTTGAGGATTGTTTTAATATGTAAACAAAAAAGAAGGTTAACAGATCTGTTTGTTTACTTTCACCTTTCCTTTTCATTATATTTAATAATTCTCTTAAAGATAATGTAAATTGTTAAGAAAATTGTTTTCTTTTAGTGCCTTCTGTAATGTTACATAATTTTTTCTTTAGCCATTATTGCCAGAATTCCTATCTTCATCCCAGTGCCGGTGAAGACAATGTAAATTGTTAAGAAAATTGTTTTCTTTTAGTGCCTTCTGTAATGTTACATAATTTTTTCTTTAGCCATTATTGCCAGAATTCCTATCTTCATCCCAGTGCTAGTGAAGTCAAAGATAAAACCAATCTACAGCTTCTACAATAGCCATCACTGAACTGCTTGCAGAACTTGCCTGGACACATTGTGAGATCACCTGTATGCATTGTGAACTATCTGTTGGTACACCGAATTGTGGTAGTGCTGGAGTATTTTTGCTGATGGTGTCACCGGTGGTACAATTTTTCAAAGGAGCCCTCAATTGGCTTAATGTCATGGCATTTTGCATCCTCCTCTACTAGTGATGGTCTAAAATTTGGGGGCCAACAGAGGTGAGGCAAAGAACCTCACCCCCCCACTGGTGCAAAGGCCTATCCACAAGTATGGCTGTATGCTGGACCGGTAGTCAGTGACGAGTATGATCCAATTGCAGTGGTACCAACCTAAGACAGGAGGCTGACGCCTAGAGGTCAGTTCATCCGATGACGGGTAAGGACCATATGTTGAATTGGACTGCCTAACAGGCACGGTCCCTAAGCCACATGCTTGTTGTTTAAACAGAGAGGGGGAGATGTTGAGAGCCACAGCCTAAGGGGCCCCAGCAAACTTCCAGCTGCCGGCTGATGATTGGCTCACAGCAGCCCCAGCAACATCTAGCTGATTGACTCCTCGGCCCCAGCAACATCTAGCTGATTGGCTCCTCTGCGGTGATGCTCATTGGACTGTTTCCCTGCCCTTTCAGACCACGGAGCTGCTCATTGGGGGACTTTTTTGACTCCGCCCACGTGACCCAGCCAATCGGCCTCAAGAGCAGGAGGATTGTGGGAGGTGGAGAGAAGCTTGTGTGGGAGAGAGAGTTTTGTGGAAAGCCGGTGGTGGCAGTTGAGGCTCTGAGGGTTTTTCCTGAGAGGCTATTTTGTTTGTCGTGTGTGGTTCTAAAAATAAAGTTAGTTTCTTTTGACAAGTGGCTCCTGATTGTGCCCAGCCAGACTGCGGCAGTGCTTAGTTATTTTGTCAATAATACAGTTATGCTTGTACCAACCCTTCTAAACTCATCCCTGGAATCCCGTGGGATAGGAAGGTAGAAAAAAATCAGGGATACAATATGTGGAATAGATGTAAGAATTGACTATAAGAAGACTGAAGTCATTATACTTACTCACGCAAATTTTTGAGAAAGAAATAAAGCAATACCTCAAAGAAAACCACTTTTTAAATGGCACAAGGGATTCCATGCCAATATATATATATATACCCTGCACCACTTAAGGGGATGAGCTAATGTCATGGCAAATATTCCATATATATATATATATATATATATATATATATATATATATATATATCTTCTTCTTTGATATTAGAGACATGAAGACAAGTTGTGGGTTACAAAAAACTCACCTAAGAATAAATACAAATTTTAAGTATATGCACAGAAAATATTCATTCTAAGAGTCAAAGAAATACAAATTAAATCCAACTGTGAAATATAGTTGCACATTCATTATGACAGCATGGTAATTTTTAAAAATCATCACCACTACAAGCAAAGTGTGATGAAGACAGCACACACGTTTCCTTATTATTAACTGATATTATTACCCTTTTACAAAGCAATTTTGCAAGAACCATACAGATATTTGTATCTTTGGACTTCAAAATTTTATTTTAGGGATGGACTTGTGGCTCAGTGGTAGAGCATTTGCCTACCATGTGTGAGGCACTGGATTTGATTCTCAGCATCGCATATAAGTAAATAAAATAAAGACCCATCATTATTTAAAAATATATATTTCAAAGAACCAATATACAAATGCAACTCATTTAAAAGCAAAAGATAAGTCAATAAAAATATTCAGTAGTTATTATATATAATAGAAAAATAATCAGCAAACAAAAATTTTAAATAAATACATATCATAAAATAGATTATCAATAAGTATACTGATTATGATTTTAAGATAATATGGAAATGTAGAAAAATATTTATGTTCAGTAAAAATAGGTTTTGAAATAATATATATTATAGTTGGGGCCACGTAAAAGTGTTAGGAAATATGCAAAAGTGACAAGCATTACTTTAGCATAAGTGTATTATGAATGAGTTTTCATTCTAAAAATTCTTTTTAATGTCATCATTAGATTCTTTTTCATTAATTTTTTTTGTATGAGCGTTGACAAAGAAATCTATTACAAAATGGGTAAAGTGGTATTTGCAAATTAGCTTCTGAATATGTAAGGGTACTCTTTTCAAATGGAAAAAAATCTATTAACCTAACATCTTGCTTATTACACAGCACTTTAGAAATCAAGATTTTGTTTTTCAAATTAGGTAAGAAAAATATTTCCTATTTTAACAACTAAAACTATCCATAAAGTGCAACTTAAAGGTTTTTTAAATTTTAATAAAGCATAAATTCTTTGAATATAATATGAGAAGATGACAGTGTAGGCCCACTACCCTAGAGGAAGTGTGCTTAGTTATTTTGTCAATAATACAGTTATGCTTGTACCAACCCTTCTAAACTCATCCCTGGAATCCCGTGGGATAGGAAGGTAGAAAAAAATCATCTAAAATACTTTTAGAAAGTATTACTGCCATCTTAATTCTAAATAATTGTCCCCAAAAGTCTTCTGAATACACTACCTCTAGGGATCACCATCTGTGAAGATACACATATGTGTACACATGCAAGCACCAAGTTTACACACCTGTGCCACAAATAGGTATTACTTGGGAGGTTTATGAAGAATACAGTGTTTACAAGTACCTGATCATAAATTATATCACTCCCAGAACCTTTGAAAACCAGGCTTTCAAGAATTAAAGTAAGAAATCTGGAAGGCCTCTGTGGAAGACATAGCAGTACCTGTGGATGGAAGAGGTAGGCTAATGCTCAATCTGCAAGATAGTTGTTAAGCAGCTTGCACCACCAGCTAGAATTTATTTAAATTGCAAGGATGAGGTGGTTCTTCAACTATCTGAAGGAGGAGAAAAACACATGACAGCAGCTGGGCTCAGCAATAAATGCTACATTTACCTTGTTAATTTCAAACTGGCTCACTGGGACACTGCCATTTAGCACATTTTCTCCAATTTCTATTAACCTCTTCTGAATATTTTCTACTATAGTGTCCCGGTTTTGATCAGAAAGAATCTGGCCAATGACAAAGCTGCAAAAAAAGAGAGAGAGAGAGAGAGAGAGAGAGAGAGAGAGAGAGAGAGAGAGAGAGAGAAATTGAATTTTTAAAATGTCATACTTTATTATTTAAATAGAGAAAAGGAAGACACATGCCATTAGATTAATGTATGGATAAGAGCTATACTAACAGCTAATATAAGGGTTAATATGTCCAAAAGGCAGTTACTCTTTGTTTTTTAATACTAACTGTACCAAAGATTTACCAACCTTGGAAGGTCAGGTTTGCCCTTAGACATAGAGAACATTCATTTATGTGGTAGCTGATGCTTCATACAAAGTGCAATGGAGAAAAATGTGTGTTCCATATATTTTTATGCAATTATAAAATTCTCAAGCAGTTATATTCTACCCATAAGTTAAAATTTTAGAAGATAATTATTTCACTTTCCTCATAAAGCACTATGATACTACCTCTGGTATCATCAAGATATTTCCATCTGAGATGACCAGTATTAGACGAGTAGAAATATAAAGCTCTTTCTTCAGCTTCATTATAAATTGGTCAGTATTCTCCAACCTTACATTATTCCTCAAAAATTCATGTTATTCTACCAAACCCAAAGGAAAAGGAAAAAGAAAAAGAAAAGAAGTTAAGAAAGCCAATATTTTACCCATTTCTGCGAAAATGCAGAGCGAGAGTTTGACAGCTGCATTATAATTTGTCAGAAAAAGAACCCTGACAAAAACATTTGTATAGCTTTAATTACTAATACATTTCTAACTCAGAGAAATTTACTTCTATTATGATGCATCTTTTCTTAGAAAACACAAAGCTAAAGAGAACACTCTAAACGACAGTCTATACAAAGTAGTTTCATCTTTGGGTACATTTGGGGGCAATGAAGCATTTCAAACTACATTTCATAAAAAGCTAACCGTGACCTATACTTGGATGATCAACTTTGCCTAATCAAGAGTAGTTTTGCAGAAGCAACAATTGCTCAATCCCCCAACTTCAAAGCAGAAGAACACTGGAAAATAAGTTTAAAAAATGCTAGTATTTAGCAAAAATTAAAATCTAGCTGTAAAGAAAAAATTTTTTCTACTTTCAGAATTGATCCAATTCACAAAATAGGAGTATCTGAAAGTTGGTATATAAAGTACCTCAAATTCATTTTTTAAATAGGTGCTTTATACATTAACATGACCCTAAAAAATTCATACACACAGGTCTTATTATCACAATCTTCAGTCCCAGTTACAAAGCAAAGGAGTAAGTTATGACATTTATTATTCCTGAGGCATCCACAATATTTGAGAACTAACTCTTAAATCAATCTGAAATTAATACAACTCTTTTATACACAAATGATATGAAGGGAACAAAGCCTCACTCTGTGCCCCATTTTGAATCCCAGAATATTTTAAGCCATGAAATGGGGAAATTTTAGCAATTATGTTCCTAAACAGGCTCCAGGAAGATCCCAGGGCATAAAACAAAGCACTTTCTAAATAGGAAAATTAAAACAAAACAAACCAACATCTATGAAATCAACTCTATAACCATCCAAGTGTGAAAGTTTACCCTCACCATGAGTTAAAACTCATGAGATAGCATCTGACAGCAAGCATTTCTTACCTAGCAAATCTGGCTTTTTCTAACTTTTCATCTAATTGTAAAATTCTACTTCAAATAAGTTTGAACTATTAATACGAAATATTAATAAAAAATTATTATATCCTTATGATTAGCAGACTTAGGCATTTTCTAGATCAACATCTGAATTTTTAAAAGACAAACAACAAAAGCAAAACTGAAAGCTGAACTCACTTTCCAGTGTCTTTAGCAAGATCACACCAATCTCTTCTAACTATATCTAATCCCTTCAGCTCCTGTTTGGTAACGTAATTCCCATCTGATGTTGGTTCAACAACCAGAGCAGCATATTTCTTTTTCTTCAGTAGTAGCAGAGACTTGAAAACACCATCAATGTCTATTTCAAGCAGTTTGTACAACTTATTCACTTCACTTTTTACCTGTGAAAATTTCAAACATTAATGTTAGCTTTTAAACTGACAGGGAGAAGATGAACATTCTTCAATTTCACAAGAATTAATCTAAGCAAAACTTGAAGTGATATAAGATCAGAAGGCACTTATTTGGCTTAAATGTAGTGTGGTCTTATAGTGGGTACAATGCAAAGACACTGAAAAACAAAGAATAGAAACCAATTTAGAAAGATAAAGGCAATAATGTATCATCCTTCTCAAAGGACTGAACTGGCTGGACCAGGCTCAGGAAATATGCGTAAATTATGGGAAATTATGAGTCTTCTGTGAATCAAATGGCCTACTACATATGTACTTTCCTTCAAACTACTGATTTAGTAAGCAATTAAAATAGTTCAATAAGTAGATGTGTGGGCAGAAATGTTAAAACAATGCCTAAGATATCCCTTAGCTCCTTAAATATAAGCAAATAACTACATGCTGAAAAAAATAAACAAAGTTTCTTCTCTTTCCAACACTGGCAATACAAAGACCATCATCCCTAGGGAAAAACTGAAGCTTTTCAAGGCCCTGTAGGAATGAGTGCAATATTCCAGGCCTGCTCTCAAGTGAAGAGTAAAATTTAAATTCTACACTTTCCGGGGCAGTTGGTAGGTTATAAAGATAATATCTTCATTTTTAGTTTACTGGAAAAATATCTTAACATAGCAAGTGCTCAAGAAACACTTGCCAGTTGTTAATTTTTATTTGGAAAAAAGCTACATATGATTATTTCTAAATGTCTCCTTGCCTTTTTAGATATACTTTAAATACTCCTATAAAAATTATAGGTGTTGGCCAAGTGCAGTAGCACACACCTGTAATCCCAATGGCTCAAGAGACTGAGGCAGGAGGATCGCTAGTTCAAAGCCAGCCTCAGCAAAAGCAAGGCACTAAGTAACTCAATGAGACCTTGTCTCTAAATACAAAACAGGGCTGGGGTCAGTGGTCCAGTGTCCCTGAATTTAATCCCTGATTATCCCACCCCCCAAAAAAGAATTATAGTTTGTGGGCTAGGGATGTTGCTTGGTATTATAGTGCTTGCCTAGAATGGGTTCAATTCCCAACACCATCAAAAAATTATAGGGATAGGGGGGTGTAGGTAGGCAGGTATTTACCTATATCTATGTATAAAATACATCTGAATACCACTAGACATATATTTCCTTGTAAATGACAATGTGGTAAATGCTAATGTGATCACATCTTAAACATACATCACATAGACTGTTGTCAAAGGAAAAAAATGTATCTATCAGTTAAGGAATAAACAATTACCTTAGAATTTTACCCTCAAAACCATTATTTGGAGTACAGTGTAAAAAACATAAGAGAATAAATAATTCAGAAGCATCAAATTTATTATTTTCAGAAACACACATGCACATACATAAGAATTTATGTTATTCCATGTTAAAAATAGTATTCACAAAACTGGGTAAAACAATTTCATCAAGTTATCTTACCTTGTTTCCCAACTTAAATACTTCTTCCAGATTGGTGCTATTGGTGTTTATCATAATTGAATCTGTATCTCCATAAATAACTTCAAGATTCATCTAATGAAAAGTCAAAATTATAAAAATTAACAACAAATTCAGTGACTATTATACACAATAAAACTAAATGTTTTCCATACTATAGAAATGACAGTTTCTACTGACTTTTCAAAAATTTAAAATTATTTTTTTGTATTGTCAGGACAGGTGATTGAATACTAAGCATCTACAAACTGGAAAGGTGAGCACTACAACATTAAGAAAACCTCTCAAATTTTCTTAAAACAGAGTGGAAAAGAACTATGTCTAGTTTTAATTGAAACAAAATATGGAATTTAATCATGAGAAGGAGAACAAGCGGCTAGGAAACGAGGCCTATATTTATCCACTGTACCACATGCTTAGTGGTCACAGCAATTTAAGGAGCAGAAACATAATGGATTTTAAAAATTCTGGGGCACAAATCCATATTAAATTCTTAACAGTTTCAAACAGTATTTAGTAGAATATGAACAGTGCCAAAAAAATCAATCATAACAAACAACACTGGAGAACATACAGTATAAAGGCCTGGAAATAAACTCTAATTAGCACTGTTACTAATTTGCCTGAAATGCTCACATATAGGCTTCAAGCAGGGGCTAGATCATATCAGTGTTGGTACAAGAAAAAAGCTGTAATCCATTAGGAGGGATTATAAATGTAAACTAGGCATCCTAAGAAGCAATTTTCAGTAATGTTTGGGTTACAGTTTTCCCTGAATACAAAAACGTCACCAGGTATGATATTTAAGAGTTTTTATATAATGAAAATGCTCAGCATTACCTTCTGTACCATCTCTTTTGTATGCATCAAAATCTAAACGAAACAAAAATCAAGATTAATGTATTACACAATTACAAAACTCTAAATATAAACATAAATAGACAGGAAACTCCATGATTTGCTATTCCCATGTATCTTTAAAGCTCTTGAAGGTTTCCTAACAACAACCCTCAAAGCAATAATATCAACATAATTAAAAATGTTTGCCTCTCTGCTGATTCTTAACCAGATATATATGCAAGCAGATATATATATCTATAGTTCTACATATCTTTGATAAACACATAATAAAAATATCCCTTTATAATATGGCAAAAAGGAAACATTTTCATTACTGTTATTTAAATAGACCTGCATGATTTCAAAAAAGCCACAGATGTGTATGCATCTCCACTAGATTTAAAATTCTTCTCTAGACTAAAATCCTTGAAAGCAGAAAGTAGATCTCCACTGTATTGCCTGGAACTAGCAGAGTGCCCAGTAAAAAGGCAGGGTTCAATAGTCAATTAATGAAGACAAAAATATGGATAATAACTAGATTATTTGGACCTGATCAGAAGCAACATATATAACATAGTGAGGACTCAGAGAGAAATGGACAGACAGCAAGCTTTTCAAACATATATGTCTCATACTGTGCTGGGAACACCTTGTATATTTTTTCATTTCCTTCTCCAAAATCCCCAAGAAGTAGCCTCAATTAATTAATACCTCAATTTGTGAGATACCAAAAGACAACGTATCTAGTTTGTCCCAGTAATGGCAGAACAAGAACATAAACGGAGGCACTTTGATTCCAAAACCAGAGCCTCAGTCACTCCATTCTACTACCTGTCCATCACCACCCATCTTTCAAAACATCAGTCTAAACCATAAGTCACTTTTCCAGTGGGCCAGACAGTAGTCCTCCTTGTCAACTAAGCTCAAACTTCACGGGATCAATTCCATCTTTCCTGTCCCCCATGCTATGAATCTTTGTAAATCTTGTCTTTGGAGCATCTTTTACACTTACTTTCCACTTTTATTATCCACTCGCCTTTCTTATTATCTCCCAATTTTGTTCAAATGTTCCTTAAGTTTGTAGAAAAGGAAGCCCTTTCCCACCCTAAGAGTGGTAGGTAGTAGTGAATTCCTTTTAAGCTAAGCCAGTGATTTTAATATGGTTGTACAGTAGAATCACTTGGGTATCTTTAAAAAACAATACCTGGCCCAGCAGTCTTTTTTGAAAAGCTTATGTTGCAAGCTGAGTCAATGACCACTGGCCTAAGATAAACATGGTAATTCAATTCTGGAATTGGCGATCAGTTTAGGCACATGCACCTGACAACATAATCCTAAATTATCAAAGGTAAGGAAAATTGTTCTAGGAATCTTTCATGAAACATTTTCCTTCGTGACAAGAGGTGGGAAGAAAAACTGAACTGTCTTTTAGACAAGGCTGTTTGGAGCAGTGACAACCAACACTGTAACCACAAAGGGATATGTTTCAAAGTATAAGCTAACATACTGAGAAGGGCAGGCCACAAGGTGGAAAACACCTGACTCCATGGCCATGTTGTTATAACTGAAACTTAACTTGCTAACACCTCTAAAGCAACATTCTAATTGGCTTTAGATCTCATTGACTTACCCTGAATCACCATCAATCTTCTTAATGTTTTCAATGCTGACATGATCAAGCCCAAGGTCTGCAACGGCACCCAAACCCCAGCTCCACCTATACAGCCTGTTATTTCCTTACATAAAACCTCTTGCCAGGCAGGACAAATTTTCCAGTCCTCCAACAGTTATAGTGTACAGATATCATCTTTTCATGCAAGTGTGTCCCCTACCTAATTTTTCCCCAGTCCTCTTCCTGTGATTGCATTTTACAAACCTCAGTTAAAACCATTCTCTCATGGGACTGTAGTTGTGGCTCAGTGGTAGAGTGCTTGCCTAGCATGTGTGAGGCACTTGGTTCAATTCTCAGCACCACATAAAATAAATAAATAAAACAAAGGTTTTGTGTCCACCTACAAATACAAAAAATAATTTTTTAAAAACCCTTCTTTCATAAAGCCCAACCCAAAATGATTCTTTTCTGACATGGACCTACTCTTTTCTTCTAGCAAACAAATGAAGTTTTATGTTATTTATTGACTGCTTGTTCCCCTCCCCAACTAGACTACAAGCTTCCAGAGGTTAGAGTGCACATCTGTGCCTAACTGCAGACTTCACATATAACAGGTACTCAAAAAACCTGTACCAATCAACTGACAGATTGCATAGTAATCACAATTACTTTTTTACTAGACACTAAAATTCAGTAAACTTATTTTAAAAAAACCATTCTCCTCCACTTCATCTTCATTTTAAACATTTAAATTACAGGGATATGTATTATGGGAGAAAACCTGACAATTCCTTTGGGAAAGGGGCAATAACGAGATCACCCCAAGTCAAGTTAATCATAGTGAGGACAGAATTACTTATCAAGAGTTCTCTCTACCCTATCCCCCTTCCACTTTGCAAGGCTGAGCTTTCCACATCATAATGGACAATTCCATAAGGTAGTACTGCTACCTACTAAGTAAAGTATCTCAGGAACAACTTGTGACACTTTCACTATAACATATTCAGTGACCAATTTCTTCTACTCTTCTTTCACAATGTGCACCAAAGCTACTATGTCATCCCTGTGTACATTTTCTATGGGAACTGGCAACCTTCACCTTTTTGATCTCTCTTCCACCAACTCACAACCATTTCCATGCATAATCAGAGGGCTGCTAACAAAACAATTTCCCCTCTGGTGGCAGAAAACTTTTGGTGGACTTACTTTTTAACAAATATGATAAACTGCAGACTCTGCTACAACTGCTTATTTCAACTAACACCTTCATCTTAGGAACTTTCCAAGCCCACAGCAGCTTCATTCTTTTTTAATGACTACATAATACACTATTATTTTCTTTCTTTATTTAGAGTACCAGGGATAGAACTCAGGGGCACAACCACTGAGCCACATCCCCAGCCCTATTTTGTATTTTATTTAGAGACAGGGTCTCACTGAGTTTGGCTGGCTTTGAACTGGTGATCCTCCTGCCTCAGTCCCCCAAGCTGCTGGGATTATGGGCATGCGCCACTGAGCCTGGCTCACAATTTATTTAATTGGTGCTCTACTAATGGACATGTAGGTTGCTTCTAATCTTTATCATTGTAAATATACTTCAACAAATATTCCTTATACACATGTAATTTACAAATTTGTCAGTAAAAAAGATAAAAGACTGCTGAGTGGACTCACTGGGTCAAAGATTCTGTTTTAATTTTTTTAAATATAAATATAGCTCAACAGCTCTCCACACAAGTTGTACTGATTTCTGTGGGTCATATTAACCACCATCTTTTCCAGTGGTCTTCACCAGGAGCTAATAGCAATGTTTTGTCTCAGGCTCAAGGTCCTTACCAGTTTGCCAACAAGAAAGCCCACAACCATTATGAGTCCTATCCTCTCATGCTTCTTCACTTAGCAGTTCTGAGTACCATAGTGCTCTCTTCAGTGCCATACCTACCCACGTACTAATGGCAGGATTACCCCAAAGCTGCCTTCAGGTACAGCCCTCAACTCTCAACTGCTCACTGGAGTGGGCTCAGCTACTGTATACCCAGTACACTACCAAATTCTTAGCATCTAGCAGAGGGCCCACCGAGTATATGGGAATTATTAATAAACATTTATAGAATGCTAAATGAAAACTCCTAAAGGGTAGGTTGTATCATAGGACCCATGTAACAAAGGAGGAAAATTAGACTGAAATTTTTGCCTAAATAATTAGTCAAGAACTTGACCTAGAAGGTTGTGTTAGTCAGCTTTCTGTCACTATGACAAAATACCTGAGGAGAAACTGCTTAAAGGAGTAAAGATTTATTTTGGCTCATGATTTCATGGTCATTTCCTCATGGCAGCCAGGAAGCAGTGGGGGGGTATTAAAATATACCCTTTAAGGGCATGTCACCAGTGATCTACTTACTCCAACTAGACCTAATCCCCTAGAGTTTCCACTACCTCCCAATAGTCCATTCAATTATAAATCCATCAATGGATTAAACCCATTGATGAGATCAGGGCTCTCATGACCCAACCACTTGCCAAAAGTCCCACCTCTGAACATTGCTGCATTGGGGACCAAGTATTCAACACTTAATTAAGCCTTTGGGAAACATTCCTGATCCAAACCACACAAACCTGGACATTATTGTTTCTTTTTTTTCTTCCTTATGTCCTATTGCCTTATTAAGACACCCAATTCATATGAAATGTTCTAGAAGTCAACAATTGAAAACTTATACATTATAGATAGTTTCCCCATTGAGAAAATGCATTTTTAAAATAGACATAGGTACCCAGAAAGGTCTACTGGACACAAGGTAGAGTGATTACAAGATGACTGTTCATAAGTTCACTTCAATGTGACATGTCTAATATTAAAGCTACCCATTCTGACAGAAAATCATTTTATAAGTGCCAAGGGCTAGAAAACAGGGCTATAAAGGCTCACTACATTCATTAATAAGGCAGTCTGCAGTTATCTGATTTCACAGCAACACCTGCATATTTATCTACTCATTACCAATTGGATGATGGAATTTTTTCAAGCACATTTCAAAAATCTGCCAACTTCAAGTGTAAAAAAATAAACTTTGTGGTTAATTTTTCCCTTAACAAAGTACAGCTGTTGAGAATAATTGTTCAAGATCTTACCCTGTAATGTCAACTGCAGCAGAACAAAGAGTATTTAATTAGCAAATCTATCCAGTAATTCAACACCTATTATATAAAATGCCTTCGTGATTTTATTCAGGATAATTTGCTAAGAGGGTTATTACTGACATTCAGATGGAATTTAAAATTCCTACGCAAGTCGAGTCATAATAGCAGTAATGATCTCCCCAATCAGGAGATTCGGTGTCACACAAGGCTCTCTTGCAATGCAGCAGCCGATTTCCTGACTTCTTAATTCCTGGGCTCAGCTCAGTGAGAGCCCTTCATG